AAATATAAATATAGAAATATAGTAATATATGGCATAATAATATATACAGTATAATATTCTGGATAGAATCAAAAATACATTTTGACCAAAGCAAACAATGAATCGTAATAGCCACTTCAACATAAAGAATGTATTTTGTTTGATTGATCAGGGCTTCTGTATGACCACAAGGTCACTTCTTGGATGAATTAGATGTGCTGCTCTCAAACTTTCCTTAGGATGGTACTCCCCTAGTTACATTTACATTACATTTACATTTAGTCATTTAGCAGACGCTTTTATCCAAAGCGGTTTGGTCGCCGTGAATTTGCCAAGTAAGACATGTTCCTGGATCAACATCTTTTGTTGATCCTGGATGAACATTACTGTCCAAAAATATAAACTAAACCCAGTCCCTACCCCTAAACCTAACCCTACCCATAATTTATTCTTAAAATCAGTGTGAAATGATAGCTGATTAACAAGGGTGTAGAAGCACCTAACCCTGATCGTAAGCCTAAAACAGATATTTCCCGAAAAGTTATCCCTCAATTCTGATTGGTTGGTTGGAATGTTGTTCCAGGATCAACAAGGATGTTGATCCAGGAACATGTTGTACTTGGTGAAATCATGTTCACCATAACCCCACTACTTAAGAAACCCACCCACCCATCTCTTTTAGAGAACTACAGACCGGTTTCCCTTCTTCCTTTCATTGCAAAAACACTTAAACGAGCTGTGTTCAACCAAGTTTCTGCCTTTCTCACACAGAACAACCTCCTTGACAGCAACCAGTCTGGTTTCAGAAGTGGACATTCAACTGAGAATGCCTTGCTCTCAGTTGTTGAAGCCCTAAGACTGGCAAAAGCGGATTCCAAATCTTCAGTACTTATATTGCTGGATCTGTCCGCTGCTTTTGACACGGTTAACCACCAGATCCTCCTGTCAACCCTATTGGCAAAGGGCATCTCAGGAATCGCACTCCAGTGGTTCCAAAGGGCCTCTCAGGAACCGCACTCCAGTGGTTTGAGTCTCTCAGATAGGTCCTTCAAGGTATCTTGAAGTCGCAACATCTAACTACTGGGATGCCTCAGGACTCAGTTCTTGGACCACTTCTCTTCTCTGTCTACATGGCATCACTAGGTTCTGTCATTCAGAAACATGGCTTTTC